AACACTTGCATGTTCCCACGCTAACTAAACTGTACAGTTCATCTGCCAGCGATACAGTTTAGTAACAAATTATTTTTCAGTAATAACGGCACAGTTTTTAAAAGCTTCACATAATGGTTGTGCCCCACTTTTGGGCAAAAATTTGCCATAAAATCTGCAATGATTATGCAGTGAAACACTGTAGTTCGTGGGCTCAAAGACCTGTTCCTCCCACCCCCAACCCCTATTTGGAAGAGACTCCATAGGCTATCTATTCACAGCCTCTCATTTTACAGATGTTCTTTAAAGTGATCCTTATATGACACAAACCAGATTGCTCTTCACTGTCCTAGTTGGCCTCCTCTGGACAATTTCCAGCTTGTCAATGTCCTTCCTAAAATGTGATGGCCAGATCTGAATACAATACTGCTAGATGTGTTCTGACCAGAGGAGCATATAAAGTTACTATCACCTCACTATTCCTGGACACTGTGCCTGCACAGAGTAAGATTTCATTAGCTTTTTCATTACCAAATTTCACTGCTTACTTATTTAGCTTCTAGTCTATTAAAACTCCGTGATGTTTTTCAGAAAAATTGCTCTCCAGTCATGTCTTCCAGGATCTTGTACTTGCAAATTTTTGAAAGTGAAATATAAGACTTGACATTTGTTCCTGATAAATTTCATTGTAGAGGCAGTATGGCACGGAGTTGGACTTTGAGTCAGAAAGACCTGGGTTCACTTCCACCTCTGAAACATAATGGTAATAATAGAGAAATCACTGAAGCCTTCAATGGCCCCAGGTAATTCTTTAAAAGTAGGTGGAGGCAGCTAGGTGGCTCAGTGGATAGAGTGCTGGGCCTGGAGTCAGGAAAACCTGACTTTAAATCCATCCTCAGAGACTCACTTGCTGTGTGACTTTGGGCAAGTCACTTAACCTCTGTTTGCCTTAAACTACTGAAGAAGGAAATGGCAAACCACTCCAGTATCTTTGCCACAAAAACCCCACGGACAGCATGGTCGTGCTATGGTCCACGAGGTCCCAAAGAATTGGAAGCGACTGAACGACTAAACCACAGAGCAGGTGTTGACCTGAATGTATAAGTATGGGGGCAGCTAGGTGGCAAAGTGGATAGAGCACCGGCCCTGAAGTCAGGAGGACCAGAGTTCAAATCAAATTGTGTGTACATATATATAAATATTAATATAATTAATATATCATTATTACATTTACATTAATATAATTATTGATATAAAATTATATATATTTATAAAAGTATGGAAATTTAAGTAGATTTTTTTTAAATAACAGGGCCTAACAAATGGGAGGATTCTGTTGGTAAAGTTGTAATTTAATTTACCTAATACTTTTGGAGTATTTTGATAGTCAAACTTCGAAAAGCTCTGTAGTTTTCAGCTCTAAAGTTGACCAAGAGGGGCTGGGAAGATACAAATCCTCAAAAAAAGTATATGTTTCTGCTAACCTTTACTCAGAGAGATGAGCAAAATTTCCGGGGCCAACTTCTGTCAAAAGTTTCCTCTCCATTGGAAACTTTCAAGCAAGTAAAAAGAAATATTGGGATGGATGATTCACTGGAGTTCAGTTTACCTTCCTATTTACCTAAGGAACAATTTGACACTTGGTGATACATTAGGGGAAGAAGAAAAGGCACACCTGAAGGGATTATGCCGTACTGAAATATTTCAAACAAATAACGAACAATGGTATTTCCGAGCAGGGTAGAACAGAACCAGCTGTGTGTGTTTTATAATAAAAGAAAAATGCAGAAAAACCAACTAAGATATATTTGAGTGAAAGGGTCACAATTCAGGCCCTGAGAGCTTCAAACAGATCTGTGGACCAATTGTGAGATAGGAATACTCAGTCTTGGATTGCTAGCTGGCTTTAAAAAAAAATCTTTTAAAAAAACAATTATGAACTTAATAATCATCAATACAAACATTTCAATATACAAAGAAGAAAAA